TGCTTCCCTTCTCCCCTTCCCCCCTCGTCGTCCCACCTCCAATCAATCAAGGAGGCAATTACCTTCCCCCGAATATAAACAAATTCTGCGCATTTATCGACGGAGTAAAAAGAAAAAAAAAAGAAAAAAAAGAAGAAAACGATAAGAGGTCATTTCAAACACGGTGTGTGTGTGTGTACGCGTACGTGTGAGTGTGTATGTGTGTGTGTGTGTGTATGTGATTCGTGTGCGTGTGTGATTCCCCCCCCTCGTACCAACGAATCAATGAATCGAAACCGGACTTTTGCCTTCCCATATAATTAAAAAAAAAAAAAAAACAATCAGGCCAATTTTGATCCGGGAAAAAAAAAAAAAAAAAAAAAAAAAAACTAATCAAGCTTCCGACGCTTCCCCCTTTACCCACAAACCCGTCCCTCTTACTAATCAATCAATCAACCAATCTGGACTTCCCCCCTCCCCGACATCGTCCCCCTCATCCCACATCCCGACTTCCTCCTCCCCATCCCGACCCTCCGACCCTCTCTCCCCATTCCGACTTCTTCCCCTCCCCCTTACCCACAAACCCCCCTCGTACCAACCAATCAATCGATCAATCCGGACTTCCCCCCTCCCCGACCTCGTCGTGCCCATCCCGCATCCCGACTTCCTCCTCCCCATCCCGACCCTCCGATCCTCTCTCCCCATCCCGACCTCCTCCCCTCGCTATCCCGACGTCCGGACCTGTCCCTCCCCATCCCGATTCCGTTGGCCCCTTTGCCCTTGTCGCCGCCATCCCGACAACTTCTCGATCCCGACTTCCCTTTCCGCTATCCCGACGCCGTTGGTCTTCGGGTTGCGCCCATCCCGCATCCCCACTTCCCCCTCCCCATCCCGACCCTCCGATCCTCTCTCCCCATCTCGACCTCCTCCCCTCGCTATCCCGACCTTCGGACCTGTCCCTCCCCATCCCGACTCCGTTGCCCCCTTCGCCCTTGTCGCCCCCATCCCGACAACTTCTCGATCCCGACTTCCCCTTCCGCTATCCCGACATCGTCGGTCTTCGGGTCGCGCCCATCCCGCATCCCGCATCCCGACTTCCCCCTCCCCATTCCCACTCTCCGACCCCTCCTCCCCATCCCGAATCCAGACTCCCCCCCGCATCCCGACTTCCCCCTCCCCATCCCGACCCTCCG